AGTGAGACTCCAACTCAAAAAAAAAAAAAAAAAGAAAGAAAACTTCCTTTAAATCACCTCTGGCAACACAGCTGTTATGCCAAGGACTACACGGTGTACAAGTCAGGGACCTTTCTAGAAACTTCAATCAATATCAGGGCTCACCTAAACTAGATGACCTTGCATGCAACATGAGAATCCTATCAAACTGGCAAAGCCAGCTCCTTCTACCTCCCTCACTAGAGTTAAGTTGGTGGCCTGTTGCACCTCTTTGAGGATACTGGGTTTTCGACCCTCTCAATGAAAGCCACCACAGAGTTTGTATTTTGAAAGGTGCACTGTGCTGGTGATGTTTGTGGAGAACATCACTCGGTGTCCAGTGTATAAAGGCTCCTGCTTGCTGTTTTGAATGTAATATGTAACTGTTATCAGCAGATGTCTCCACGAATCGTTCTTTGGGTTTGGAATAGGTCTTGCTGAAATGCTTCAAAATGGAATCAGGCAGATTCTTAGGAATAAACTATTTCAAATTTGAAATGAAATTATTTCAGTATAAAGGTCAACCTTGTCTGGTCTTCTTAAGAGTAAAAGTTGTTAATTTCACTATTTAGTCAGTAAGAGTGTGACTAAAACTACTTTTTAAAAACAGGCACTAGCCGGGCACAGTGGCTCACACCTGTAATCCCAGCACTTTGGGAGACCAAGGCGAGAGGATTGCCTGAGCCCAGGGGTTTGAGACCTGCTGGGCAACTTGGTGAGACCTCGTCTCTACAGTAAATCAAAAACTTAGCCAGGCATGGTGGCATGCACTTGTAGTTCTAGTACTTGGACGGCTGAGGCAGAAGGATCAGCTGAGCCCAGCAGGTCGAGGCTACAGTGGCCTTGAGCATGCCACTGCACTTCAGCCTAGGCGACAGAGTAAGACTCCAACTCAAAAAATAAAAATAAAAATAAATTTAAAAAGACATAGAACTTATATGAGCTGTTATGGAGAAATCTATTTATATCATTAAGTGAAATACCACAAAGTAATACATAAGGCATAATTCCGTTTACCTATAAAATCATATGCGGGCATGCCTGTGTTTATGTTTATAAATGCATGTTTAAAAGTCTCCAGATTTTTCCAGGAATATATACCAAACTATTAATAATAACTGCCTCCTCAGAGGGAAATAGACCTAAAAAGGAGGGTAGTATTTGGATTTGAACAGAAAGGATATATAGTCACATATAACTTGTATGGTTTAAAATGTTTTAAAGAATATATGCAAGCCCTGTCTATAAAGTTAAAGAAAAAAGTCACCTTCCTAAACAAAACCCCAACTAAACCTCTGTGTCCTCTTGATCAGGGGTCTCCATCCCCCAAACTGCAGACCAGTACCAGTCCGTGGCCTGTTAGGAAACATCCATACAACAGGAAGTAAGCAGCGGGCAAGCGGAGCTCCGTCTTCTGTCAGATCAGCGGCATTAGATTCTCATAGGAGTGAGAACTCTATTGTGAACTGCACATGCAGGAAATCTAAGTTACAGCTCCTTATGAGAATCCAGTGCCTAATGATCCACTCGCCCCCTCCTTGTCCATGGAAAAATGGTCTTCCATGAAACCGGTCTCTGATACCAGAAAGGATGGGGACCACTGCTCTTGTTCCCTTCTTATGCTAAGTTCAGCATATAGCTGTGGTTCTTTAAATTTTACAAATATTTTCATACGGTCATTTTATTTAATCTTCCCAACATCGTTTGACCCCTATTTACAAGTGAGCAAACTGACACTCAGAACAAGTAAATGACTTGCTTGACCTTGGCTCACCAGAATTCACTTAGAAACAGAACTGAGATTCAAGTCCAGGCCTTCCAACTCTGAAACCTACAAGTGCATCACAGAGGAAAGTAGACCTGTAGTTAATACCTACTGATTTTACTTAACTTTCTTATTGTTTATTTATAAGGAGCCATTTGTTTAAGCTGGGTTTACATGTGGGCTTGGTCAGCCAACTTGCTTTTATAAGAGAGTTACTTCCACATGTGAGGTTTGTGTTGCTGTTTTATGGATGTGTTGTGTCCCCACTTCTCCAGTTTTCTTTTCCCATTATCTTTCCACAGAGAGCCTTTTCATAAGCTGCTAGCCCAAGGCCTTATCAAGGGACAGACATTCCGCCTACCCTCTGGACAGTATCTACAGAGAGAGGAAGTCGATCTCACGGGTAAGAATGGCCCCTCTGGTCCTATCCAGGTACTCACAGAGAACCAAGGCCAGGCCCTGGCCAGGTGGAGAATGCAGGATCCCTAGGCACCTACTGACCTCATGGTCTCTCAGCCTCTGCCTGCTCTGGGTCTGCACCCTCGGAAGACTAGTCCTGGATCTGGCTGTCTGCTCCTCTGCCTCGGCCCCATCAGCCCAAGTGTCACTTCAGCTTCTGGCAAGGTTTTCATTTGTATGTAACAGAGTCAATTCAGGCATCACTCCTGTCCCAGTCCATTTTTGATAGCCCATCCCAAGGACAAAGCCCCCAGACCCAGGAGACTTTCAGTGTGCCACACAGTCTAGTGGTACATTTCAGAACCTCAGGGGCCACCACTCTGCTTACTCCCACAGCACCCAGAGCAGCACCGCCAACACTTCCGAACAGAATATCTCCCCCTGACTCCTTGGACCTGCCTCTTCTCCTCTCCCAAGCCATTTCCTTCCACTCTACGTTTTCATCCTTGCTCAGAGTTGTTTCCTCCTACCAGATCTTCTGATGACATGATAAAGATGCATCGTGTATGCCCAGAACACAGTGAAATACATGACGTTAGAAAATGGGGGAGTTGTGACGTACATGGGGCGGCAGTGAGAAACCTCCATCACTCTGGCCATTGCACTTAGAAAAACCAGTGCGTGGCAGATGAGATTAGGTACATACAACACTCCTTAAGTGGTAGGCAGCCTTCCAAGCCAAACACTAGCACTAGAGGGAGGGTTTTGGTAAAAGCAGTCGATGGAATTACCTAATCAAAGCAATAATATGTCAGGACTTCGAATGGTCCATGTGAGAAGCAGAATTGGCAGTGTTTCTCCACCACAGACCAGAGAGGAAAGGAGCTAAATCCAGAGACTCGTAAATGTCAGCTGTTAGTGAAGTGTTCTCTGTTATGGGCAAGACTACATGTATAGTGCAGTTTGTACACTGTACACTGCACAAAGGAACCCAACCAAGGGGGTGAGCAGAGTCTGAAATCCAGCCACTTGCCAAGCCATACGTTTCAAGGCCACACCTGCCAAAAGAGGGTACCTTTTCCTAACTTAGTGACTTCTCTGCCTACATTTCTCCTAATTTGCACAGCAGTGGTATAAAGGCTAGACACAGCCCAGAATGTGATAGGGGGCCAGTGGTTCCCTGTGTCTCACAACAGGCAGGATAAAATATCTTCCAGGACTTCAGTCTCCCTTTGCTTTGATGGCATGGGATCAGGCTGTGTTGTGAACATCTCTTCCCTTCCCATGCAGACTTGCCCATGGGCGAGCAAAGCAGGTTTCTATCCACTTAATGGATGTACATTCAGAAGTGTGGAGTTGGCTTTTGGGTATGTACATCGGTCCCTTGTGAGTTTGGGTGCTGCTGGAGTCAGAGATTATTAGACTGGAAGGAACAGAAGTCCACCCAAATGTAAGTTTAACACAAAGATGATGGGACATCCCTGAAACCGAGTTGTGAGAAATGTAGCTGCACTCCATAGCACAGAGGAAGTCACCAGCCACTCCTTTCTCAGGCCTCTAGTTCCTAGTTCCTCTTCCTGTTCTCTCTGTTCTTCTGCCCTGTTCTCCTTCCTCTGCCAAACTTGGATTCTTCCGTCCCATTTTTACTTTACAAAGTGGTCTTGGGTCACCACGGTGGCAAGTCTTACACCATCTCCGTAGGGCCTGATGATTCTAGTACCCAGCAACATCAAAACAGAGTTTCTGTGTCTCTTAGCTCCCATTCCTGAGAAAGAGGCTTAGTCTTGTCAGGCATCTTTACTGGTCCTATCCACTAGGGCTTGGCAATAGTGTCACCACGTCCAAACATGGCCATTTAAGGCCTCTTCCATCGACACCATCTAGACCAGTGGTATGCGGGTGGGGGAGGAGACACTTCCATAGAACAGGATATGGGTGACTGTTCTATGGAGTCCAGTGGGTTAACTCCATGTGCCCCAGTAGTACAAGATCATATTTTGGAGATGACCCCGGAGGACCAGGCCTCAAAGTGAAGGGACCTCTCAGGGTGTTCTGCTGCTCTGAGACGCTGACGAGTCAGCTGCCAACTTCCCTAAGAAACCCTGAATCCATAAAGAAAACTGCATCATATGCAAGTTTTTCTTACTCTGTTTTACTTGTCTTTTTTTGTATATAAATAACTTACTTATAACGGGGGAAATCAAGCCGGGCTCGGTGGCTCAGCCTGTAATCCCAGCACTTTGGGAGGCCGAGGTGAGTGGATTGCCTGAGCCCGCGGGTTCGAGACCCACCTAGGCAACTTGACGAGACCTCATCTCTACAATAAATCAAAAAAAAATTAGCCGGGCATGGTAGCGCACGCCTGTAGTTCCAGCTACTTGGAAGACTGAGACGGAAGGACTGCCAGAGCCCAGCAGGTCGAGGCTGCGGTGGCCAGGAGCGGCGATTGCACTCCAGTCTGGGCAACACAGTGAGACTCCAACTCAAAAAAAAAAAACAAATAAAAATAAAATAAAGGGAGAAATTATCTTTTTTTGTAGAAAAAGCTGGCACAAGCCATTATAACTGCACTATTTATTTGTGAAAGGAAGGTTTGAGAAAAGTGGGCCTCATTTATTTACAAATAAAACACTCTCATAATATAACATTGAGAGAGAGAAGGAGGCGTGTTGAGTGAATTATTGCAATTCTCCAAGTGGATACTTTTGTGTCCCTCACCCAGTATTTTCTTGTTGACTATATTTATACAGAGCCCATTCAGAATCCCACAAACCATACCTGTGTGTTATTTTGGCATCTAGGTTCTGTTCCTGTCCATGCAAAAACTAAAGAGAAGTTAGAGGTGACGTGGGAGAAGATGAGTAAGTCCAAACACAACGGGGTAGACCCGGAGGAGGCCGTGGAGCAGTATGGGATCGACACGATTCGACTCTACATCCTCTTTGCCGCCCCTTCTGAAAAGGATATCTTATGGGATGTGAAGAGTAAGTCACCTTCCTCTTCCTGCCCTGCGTCCTTTGTGATCTGCCCTGGACTCTGAAGGAATTTGGAGAAGGAAATGTCTTTGCCAAAGATGGTAGTAGAGAATTCTGGGAATTAGTTCTCTTTTTTGTTGTTGTTTTTGAGTTGGAGTTTCACTCCATCACCCAGGCTGGAGTGCAGTGGCACACCCACGGCCACTGCAGTCTCGACCTGCTGGGCTCCAATGATCCTTCCACCTCAGCCTTCCAAGAAGCAGGAACTACAGGCACACACTACCACGCCTGGCTAAATTTTTGATTTATTGTATAAACGAGGTCTTGCCTGGTCTCAAACCCCCAGGCTCAGGCAATTCACTCACCTCGGCCTCCCAAAGTGCTGGGATTACAGACTGAGCCACTGAACCTGGCCAGGAATCAGTTCTCTAAAGCAAGTAGCGGCCTGTCCAGCATCCTGTACCGTTCTTAGACCAGTGTTCTCAAGTGTAAGTGAGCCTCTGAATCCTTTGGGGAACTCGTTGCAGATTCCGATTCCCAGTCCTCAGCCCAGAGCTACTACTACATAGCCTCCAGGGTGGGTTTCAGGAGTCTGCTTTTGGGAAGCTCTTTGATAATTCTGGTGCACATACTACAAGGACCACACTTTGAGAACTATTTATTGGCTTCTATGCTACTCCTAGGCCGCTATGGTCTAAAAAGGCCACTGCCCTCTTGAACTAGCCTGAAGGGTTTTTTCTCGAACAGTGTCATTCTCCCTCACCAATCCAGAAAACCCCCGGTGGAGTCTGGGCCTGGTGTTACCTGTGACCTCTCAGTCACCCCTTGCATCCTCCATCTCCCCTCTCTGGGGAGACTTGTCTCTCAAAGTTGTTTAGAGCTAAAATGATATGAAATAAAATAATCCTGAGTACCTGGAATCCTAGAATAAACTGTCCAACAGTCATTCATTTTTCCTTCATGTGACCTGCCCTAGGTGTTATCGGAAGAAGAAATCAAATGCTTGGGTCTTGAGTCTCATGTCAAGTATGCATATTATTTGAGGAATCATTACTTATCTCAACGTGCTGTGGCTAGTGGGAAGTATGGTCTGAAACAGTGGTCACAGATGCCCTCTGAATCCCTAGAGGGCTTGTAAAGTGCAGATAGATGAGTGCAGGTCTTGGTCCCACCCCAACCTGGTGACAGGCTCCAGGAATCTGTTTCTAACAAGCCTCCCAGAGGCTAGGTATAGTAGCTTATACCTATAATCCCAGCACTTTGGGAGACTGAGGCAGAAGGATTGCTTGAGCCCAGGAGTTCAAGACCAGCTGGGCAACATAGCAAGACCTCATCTTTACAAAAAAATCAAAAATTAGCGAGGCATGGTGACACTCACCTATAGTACCAGCTACTCGAGAAGCTGAGGTGGGCAGATTGCCTGAGCCCAGAAGATTGAGGCTACAATGAGCTGTGATTGTGCCACTGTCCTCCAGCCTGGGTGACAGAGTGAGACCCCATTTCAAAAAAAAAAAAAACAAGCCTCCCAGAAGGTTCTACTGTGCATCCAGGTTGAGATCATCTAGCCAAAGAGTGACAAGGATTTGGACTGGCCCTAATTTGGCTAGGCATGTAACCCAGGGCTAACACATGAAGCCACTCACCAATCTTCAACAAAAGATCAAATTCACAACTAGATTGTATGAACATGTTTGAAACATAAGATATATACCATCATAAGTCAACTGTGCCTCCCAAGCACACTGTCAATTCCACAGCATTTTTGTCACAGCGAGTTTGCTTAATCAAGGAGGTGGTGTGCTGATGCATGTCCTGATTAAGCTTCTAGTCGCATCATGAGCCCGTGACAAGGGTTGGGCGTACTTTAAGTAGCCCTATATCCAGTGCTCTGAATGTGGGCACTAGGTTATGACAGAATCAGTCCTGATCTGACTTCTCTGAAACTGGAAGCCAGAGAGGCCTCTCCAAGCAGCCCTTGGAGAAATCCATCAGGACACAGTGGAGTATGTCATCGACAACTCACAGGTGTTTTTCTCAGCATAGGTATAGCCAACTTGATCAGTCTTATGTTGCTCTTTCCCTTTCTCATTTACCAACACTAAATTCAGCTGACGCCCTCCCTGGGGTGCTGAGATGGCAGCAACGTCTGTGGTCCTTGGCAACTCGATTTATTGAAACCAGGACTTCTGGGAAGCTTCCGCAGCCTCAGCTGCTGAGTAACAAGGAGAAAGCCGAGGCCCAGAAGCTCTGGGAGTACAAGAACTCAGTCGTCTCTCAGGTCAGAAACTCTGTGGTGCACACTGGGTGCCTCTGTAGCTAGCACTCTTTGGGAGCCTTTGCCCGTGATCTATGTGGCCCACCCTGCCTTAGGATGGGTCACTGTGGGTCTTCCTTCTTTGTGATGGCAGCCTTACTTGCTTCAATGGTAGACCTTACTACTCTGGATATTTTCACAAGATGAAGCAGCAGCACAAACATGCCAGTCGAAAGAGATGCCTGCAGGAGACAGTTCTCTGATGCTGTCTCATGTTTGTCCACCCTGGGTCCCAGGAAGCTGCCTGCTTCCTACATTTTCATACTTATCATGTCCAGGCAGACCACTCAATTTGGGATCACCCTGATGACACACTGCAGAAAGAGACTGTCTTCTTTGGCCTCCTCATTTTACAGATGGGGATAAAGATGAGGTCCAGAAAGGTGAAATGTCTTGCCTAAAGTCACACAGCTAGTGAGGAAGCCAGAAAAGACCAGATCAGATATTAGAATCCAAGTTCCCTGAAGTTAAGTGTATTGGGGACATTACCACTCAGGCATTTTGTTGTACAATATCCCTGTGAGATATTGTGGGGTCATTTTTTAATGAGTATCTGATGACCCAAATTCTTCTTAGGCTGATTTGTTGTTGTTGCTGTTGTTGTTGTTGTTTTAAGATATGCTGCTTCAAACTTATAAAGTCAGCCAAGGTCACTCCTCCAGACTCTGATAAGTGATGACATTGATTCTATGGCAGGTTTCTGCCTCTCTAGTTTGTATAACCTGAAGTGGCCCCGAGTCCAGCATGGTCTCATTTGATGACACTTCTTCAGCTTTATTTCTGTCCTCTGTACCCTCTGCGTGTGGAGAAACAGAGCTTGCTGATTGAATGTAGGATCTGAGTGATGCCTGAGCAAATGTTTTCATACCACATATTTTCTCTGGATTGGACAGATTCTTCTATTCTGTCAGATAGTAGAATTGGGTTATTTCAACAAGTTGAAAAACTCTTGACAAATTTTTTTTTTTTGAGTCAGAGTCTCACTCTGTTGCCCAGGCTGGAGTACAGTGGCACGCTCACGGCCACCACAGCCTCAGTCTGCCAGGTTCAGGAGATTCCCTCCCCTTTAGCCTTCCAAGTAGCTGGAACAATAGGCACACACCACCATGCCCGGCTAATTTTTTGATTCATTGGTAGAGACAAGCTCTCGCCATATTGCCCTGGCTGGTCTTAAACTCGTGGGCTCAGGTCATCCTCTTGCCTCTGCCTCCCTAAGTGCTGGGATTACAGGCATGAGCCACCAGGCCCAGCCGAACTCTTGACATCTTAAAGATGTATTATTTTTCTGTATTCTTGCCCATGGTCACAATGGAAAAGCACACAAACATGGAAAAGCTGACAAACTGTTAGTGTTCTCATGTTGACTCTATGTTTCAAAATATAAAACAAACTTCATTCCAAATACTAATAACCATCATTGTGAATTAACTAAGTGACATCCTGCCCTCCATCTTCTGATTTCTGTTATATTGATGTTTGCTGGTCAGTGGACCCTGTCTCCTATTCTGGTAACTAGTATTGTTTTTTTAAACTACCTACCATGGGAACCAGCATTGCTCTTAAGATGGTAGAAGAGAAACCATCTTCAACAGTAAAAACATTTTGCAGCTTTTTGTTCTATCAATTTAAGTCAGAGTCTATTCTCAAATTCCTGGATATTTTACAGCGTGGACTTTGAATTTTAAAATGTTTCTGCTGATAAAACATAGTGATTATTTGAGATATGACTATAAGTATATAAGTATCTTTGGTTGCTTTTAATTTTTTTGTTTTGATAATTCAGTTTTTTTGTGGAAAGCTTAAAATAATTTTGAAGAAAGTGAATGATTCAACTTTTGCCAATAGGTGACCACCCATTTCACAGAGGACTTCTCACTGAATTCTGTGATTTCTCAGCTAATGGGACTCAGCAGTGCCCTCTCGGTAAGTAGTCTATCTGCTCTCACTTGCTGGTAGCAGAGGAGGGAGGGAAAGGTGTGGCAAGGGGGTCTACAGAGTCCCAGATTAGGGATGGAGAGCAAACCACAGTGTTACCTCCTTGGAATGTGACTCATTTATCTTAAAGAAGTATTTCTTCCATAGTCACAACCTAGTTTTACTGCTGGAAAGTTCATAAAGAGTCTCTATTCCAGGCACCCTTCTCCCCCAGTATTTTGCAGAGGAGCACATTGAGGCCCAGGTAAGATAGGTGACATGTCTGACTGATTAGTGACAAATCCGAGACCAGACCAGGCCTCCCTCTCTTCTGGCTCTTCGTGTGCTTCTACCTGATTTCCTGAACAAGCTATGATACCACATCAGCATCATATATTTTATATTTATTTAACCTGGATGCATCAGAATTGTTCTCATTTAAAACAAATGTCAGAGCCGGGCTCAGTGGCTCAGCCTGTAATCCCTCGCCTTTGGGAGGCTGAGGTGAGTGGATTGCCTAAGTCCGCAGGTTCGAGACCCGCCTGGGCAACTTGGCGAGACCTCATCTCTACAATAAATCAAAATGAGCCAGGCGTGGTAGCACGCGCATGTAGTTCCAGCTACTTGGAAGGCTGAGGCAGAAGGATCGCCAGAGTCCAGCAGGTCGAGGCTGCGGTGGCCGGGGGCAGCCATTGCACTCCAGTCTGGGTGACAGAGTGAAACTCCAACTCAAAAAAATAAATAAATAAAGTAAAAAATAAAACAAAAGTCAACCTTTTCAGTATGGATTCATCTGCTTGCTGCATGGGTCTACCATTTTCCTTGCCAGGGGAAGAATTTGTTACCAAATGTTGTTAGCTGTTGGACAATAAAAGCATTTATTAAAATTGTTAACAGATACTTTTGCAAATGAAGACTCTCCAAACATTTAAGAACACTAGAAGAAACTTAATAGATCTGACTACTTAAAACTTGACATTTTCAGTGTACTAAAACATACCCTATAAAAGGTCAATTAAAAGCTGGGGAAAAACATGTAATACAAATATATCAGACAAAAAGCTAATATTCTTTTTTTTTTGAGTTGGAGTCTCGCTCTGTCGCCCAGACTGGAGTGCAGTGGCCGCTCCTGGCCACCGCAGCCTCGACCTGCTGGGCTCCAACGATCCTTCCGCCTCAGCCTTCCAAGTAGCCGGAATTACAGGCATGCGCTACCACGCCCGGCTGATTTTTTTATTTATTGTAGAGATGAGGTCTCGCTGCCCAGGCGGTTCTCGAACCCGCGGGCTCGGGCAATCCACTCACCTCAGCCTCCCAAAGGCGCGGGATTACAGGCTGAGCCACTGAGCCCGGCTAATATTCTTAATATATAAAGTACTCTTACATATTTATATGAAAACACCTAACAAAAAATAGTCAAAGATGTGAAAAGATATTAATTCACAGAAGATGCTATAGATATAGTCAATAAACAGGTAGAGAAAAAAAACTGCCTCATTTTCGTGAAATACAAATTAAAAACAAGATTTTTTTTAACCTGTCAAATTTGCAGACACTCTTAAACATAACTATTCCATGTTATTGCAAAGATGGCGAGATGAATTTTTACATAGTTGTGATGGGCATAGTTTATGTAACCACACCAGGAAGCACTCCAACTGTGAGATTCCCTCCCCCTGTGTGATCCCTACTCTTATGAAATCTCTAGCCCTGTGAGATCCCTAACCCTGTGAGAGCCCTTCCCCTGTGAGATAACTAGCTCTGTGAGATCCCTAGACCTGGTGAGATCCCTAGTCTTGTGAGATGCTTACCCCTGTGAGATTCATTCCCCTATGAGATCTCTAGCCCTATGAGATCCCTACCTCTTTGAGATTCCTAGCCCTGTGAGATCCCTACATCTATAAGATCCCTTCTTCTGTGAGATCCCTGCCCCTGTGAGATTCCTTCCCCTATGAGATCCCTAGCCCTGTGAGATGCCAGCCCCTGGGAGATTGCTAGCCCTGTGGAATACCTACCCCAGTGAGATCCCTTCTCCTGTGAGATGACTAGTCCTGTGAGATTGCTAGCCCCATGATCATGTACATCCTTTGCCCCAGAGGTGTTCATTACAGATAATTTTTAATTGCAGAGACTTGGAGCCCCAAATGTCCTCTGATGAGAGAATGGTGAAATGACTCATATCATATCAATAAGAAGGAAATATGCCACCACCATTAGCACTATGTCTTCAAAGAATACTTAATATCAGAAACTGTTTATAACATAATAAATAACTGTTTATAACCTAATATTAAATGATACAAAAGTGTCCATATGGTAAGAATCCCAATCAGAGAATGTTATGTACATAATAAGTATGTATGTTTGCATTTTGGGAGATTAGGATAAAATACTTTTTTTTTTTTTTTTTTTTTTTTGAGTTGGAGTCTCACTCTGTCGCCCAGACTGGAGTGCAGTGGCCGCTCCCGGCCACCGCAGCCTCGACCTGCTGGGCCCCGGCGATCCTTCCGCCTCAGCCTTCCGAGTAGCCGGAATTACAGGCATGTGCTACCACGCCCGGCTGATTTTTTGATTTATTGTAGAGATGAGGTCTCGCTGCCCAGGTGGGTCTCAAACCCGCGGGCTCAGGCAATCCACTCACCTCAGCCTCCCAAAGGCGCGGGATTACAGGCTGAGCCACCGAGCCCAGCGGATAAAATACTTTTTTTTAGATGCCACAATTGTGAGTGGTTTTATATTTCCCATGATTTTGTGCTGAGTATGTATTAGTTTTTAACCAGGAAAAAAGACAAGTATTATATAAAAATTAAACTAAAAAATGAAATTTTGCTACCTTGCAGCTAGTTCTGTCCACAGCCTTTCTGGCAGACTTTCTCTGTCCCTTTACCCATGAAGTTATATTCAAATCTCTTAGACAACTTTTAAAAGATCATATATCAAACACTTTTTACAAATGTAATATTTTTGGCCTCTATACCCAGTAGAATACATCATGTGGGGCCCTACTTTTAAGTTTGACAAACATATAAAATTAAACCAAAATTGTTTCTGTCCCAGGGTGTTATGAATATGTACTGAGTGCCAGAACCTCATTAAACTTTTGCTTTGTTTTTTTGCTTTTTTGTGTGCGTGTGTGATAGCATCTCGCTCTTTGCCCAGGCTGAATTCAAACTCCTGGACTCAACCAAACCCCTACCACAGCCTCTTGAATGACCGGGATTATAGATATGAGCCACTGTGCCCAGCTTAGGCTAATTTTTATCATGACTTCCTAAGGGTACTATGAGAACTGCTGCCTCCACAAAAATCTTCCAGCAATACCCTTCCTGGGGCCACCTCAGCATGGCGCATCTGCCTGGTCATTCTTTGGTCACACCTCAGGCTTTCACCCACTATACTGACCACCTTCCTTCCCACTGGCATCCACTGGGCTCCTATGACGTCCTTGATTCATTTGTTCATTGCTTCCCCAGTGGACTGTAAGCTCTTTGAGGGCAGGGACTATGTGGTCTCTGGTCTTTTTATCCTTAAGGCCTACCATGTAGTAGGTACTTTGTCCATTGAATAGGTGTGACAGGGTTAACTGAATACCCACACATCAGGAAGAAACTGCATGTTTGCTGGAATTGACAAAACTATTTAAGAGAATAGGGGTCCCTGAGAGAATCCCTGCCCTGGGGATTTCATGTTCTAAAACTTTTGAGAAGGTCTCTGTGCATTTCTCACTGGACCTGCAGCACACAGGACACCAAAGACACCTAACTTTGGTTACCAGCGGGTGCAGTGGTTCATGCCCGTAATTCCAGCACTTTGGGAGGCTGAGGCTAGAGGATTGCCTGAGCCCACGGGTTCAAGACCAGCCTGGACAACTTGGTGAGATCTCATCTCTACAGTAAATCAAGAAAAATGAGCTGAGCATGGTGGCACATGCCCATAGTTTCAGCTACTTGGAAGACTGAGGCAGAAGGATCACCTGAGCCCAGCAGGTCTAGGTTGTTGTGGCCATGAGCAAACCAACCTGGGTGACAGAGTGAGACTCCAACTCAAAAAAAAGAAAAGTTTGGTTACCATATGCCCAGGGGCAGATTACCCTCTCTCCTTGATCCTTGGCTTCTTCACTTGCCCAGTGATGTAAGAATACCACTCTAGAAGAGTAGTTGCAAGAACTAAATGAGTTGACTTCATGCTGAAGGTGTGGTAACTACTTAGAAGAGTGATGTATCTATTGCTGCTGCTGTAGCTTATTTTAATGCTATAGTTAATTAGGAGAAATTCTTTGTTCCGAGCAAAAATGGATGGTAAAGAGAGTTTCTTCCTACCAGCTTGTATCTCTGGACTTCAGTTACGTAAATAACTTTTCTTACCCACAATTATTTTGTACACCTGTCTTCTTACATGGTTTTTTCTCTTCCTTAGCAAGCTTCTCAGAGACTCGTTCTCCATAGCCCTGAGTTTGAGGATGCTCTGTGTGCCCTGATGGTGATGCTTGCTCCAATGGCCCCTCACATAACCTCAGAGCTCTGGGCAGGTATGTGGTGGAGTCTTTGTTTGACCAGATACTGCTAACCAGGATTCACCTAAACTTCTTTTTGAACACTATTCGGGACTTAGATGTCTTCAGCCATGGATTCCAACATTTGATATTTAAACATAGAAGCTCTGTCTTGTATTCTGAATGGTAGTACTTTGTCAGTATGGTCACCCCTACCAAAAGGAAAGATACTTCCCTGTTTAGAAATAATACGAGCTGGGTGCAGTGGCTCACACCTATATAAATTCCAGCACTTCAGGAAGCAGAAGTGAGAGGATTGCCTGAGCCCAGGGGTTTGAGACCAGCCTGGGCAATTTGGCGAGACCTTATCTCTACAATAAATCAAAAAATTAGCTGAGTGTGCAGGTCCCAGCTACTTGGAAAGCTGAGGTGGAAGGATCACCTGAGCCCAGCAGGTCGAGGCTGCAGTGGCCATGAGCATGCCACTGCACTCCAGCCTGGGTGACAGAGTGAGACTCTGACTTAAAAAAAAAAAAAAACATGTGCCCAGGCTAATGTGGACATTGATGTCACCACCATTGAGTCCTTCTCATGACCAGTTTCCCAGTATTCACATATCGTGACGCCACATGATCTTTCTAAGATGGAAACTCATGTTTAGTACCACTTTATAGACAGGAAAGGAGCACCTGAAATTAAATTACAACTCTGAACTCTACTCACTTATCCTGTGATTCAGTACTCTCCACCAAAGCATTAATCCTAAGATAGGCACTGGAGCAGGTCTATTGCCAACCTGAGGCTCAGCCCCTGGAATTCTCTCCACATCAATAGAACTCTTAGCCCAGAAAGAGTCAGGGACTTCACGTAATCATCAAATTGGAATTAGGCCAAACATAGAGGGAGAGGCAAAATGACATGTAATTGAGCTACTAAGGGATTATACATGGGAAAGTCTTCAGATATTTCTATAAATAGTTCATCTAAAATGTATTTCATTTGGAAGTTCCATTTACATAAAGTATTTTTTTTAAAAAAAAACTCCCGGGCGTGGTAGTGCATGCCTGTAGTTCCAGTTACTTGGAAGGCTGAGGCAGTAGGATCGCCGGAGCCCAGCAGGTCAAGGCTGCGGTGGCCGGGAGCGGCCACTGCACTCCAGTCTGGGCGACAGAGTGAGACGCCAACTCAAAAAAAAAAAACAAAAAAAACCTCTCCTGATTAAATTTACTGATGTGGTATTACAGAGAAGAAATGCATATTGACCAGTAAGTAGACTAAAGGTCATGGTGTAAGATTGAGTGATGAGAATAATTTGAGGATTGTTTGAAATTCCTACCACCCAAATAGTTTTATGACAACAGAAGATATTGTGATGGGATTTATAGTTGACAGGGTAGTGCCTGTATCTATCACAAAGGCTTCTTTATTGCCTTCTGCTTTAAAAGGTAGTGCTCCTTGTTGATTAAGGGAATCCTTGGAAATTGGAGGAGGCATGCATTTCTTTTTTTGTTTGTTTGTTTAGTTATTTTTCCAGTGTTCCCTTTTGTACAGTTTAAGTAAGCATCTCTGTCAAAAGAAACTGATTTTTATCCTTTGAGGAAGAGAAAATTTATTCAATTTGCTTTCATTGTAAACCTATGAACTTAGTTGGATTTGATCCTTTTTGATATCTAAAACCACTTTAAAATGTTCAGCCAAATACTGAAGTTCATGTAATGGGATGATTTGCCAGCCAGTTTTTTGCTTGTGTACCATAGCTACAATTTCTGACTTTAAACATCAACCAAAGAAGTGAGAAGGACTTTGGAAATGTCCACATTGGAACTAATCCTGAAAACTCTAAGGATGTGGACAGATGTGCCTCCAAAGTTGCCTGTGGATTCATTCTTTGCTGCTTGAAAGATTGATCAAGGTCTAGTTTACTTTAGCAGCAAAGAGATGTGGTGTAGTTCCCAAAAGATCCTATCCTACTTTATATGTTTTAAGGTATTCTGTTTGAGTAAAAATGAATTTCATTATGTTTTAAGTCATTTTCTGGGTCTTTCCAATTACCCTTTTCTAACCAAGCTTTTGCATCTCCTGGCCCCTCCCATAGGTGGCTTAGTTGGGAGACGTCAGGGAGGGCTGGGTTGGATGTACCCAAGACAAGTCTGAGTGCTGTAATGAATTTCTCTCTTTCAATTCTGGGATTTGGGGGGTCCTTAACAACAGCATGGAGATCGAAACACAACCAGGGCTTAAATATTACATAACAATCAATGTTGGGATGCCTCTTTTCGTAGGGGGTAGAAGTTGCAAGTTCAAATGACAGTGAGGTAATACAGTGGATTTAGAAGTAGGTGGGGTTTCTAGAATGGAAGACCTTTGAGAGAGAGAAAGAGGAAAAAAAGAAATAAGAGGAGGAGTTGATTATGAGGACTTCATGATGTTGAGCAAGGTTCCAAGGGTGAGGGCCAAGAAGGTGAGAAAAGACAGGAAGAACTGGAATGGGTTTCCAGTGGATCTACAAGGCAGATGGGTTTTAAGTTTCTCACATTTTAAATCTTTAAGGGAGTCGAGTTTTGAATCCGAATTGTGTTTTGAAGCCTCGTCAATACCAATTAAAGAAAGCATGCCATTGAACAGCTAGAATTGTGTATCCTGTTGTTCTGAGAAACCTCTCAAATGACCAATTTTGTTCACATCAAAAGTTCCCCAAAGGGATCACTGTCCTTCCAAACTGTCTTTGGTGAAATTGTGGCACTTACAAAGTTATGCACAGGATTTAGGACTGTAGTTAGAAAATAAAGAAAGCTTGGTATGGAGGGGCACAGTTTTAGGTTGAAAGACCCCATGAGAATTGTAGTGCCTCCACAGGTCAATGCTTATGGATCTTCAGGCCTTGATGCTTGGTCGTCATTGAGTAGGAGCCAGATAATACCTCCTGATTATGGACAGACAAAACTAAAATAAAAGCAGTTCTTGGAACATAAGAACAAGACTAAGAAAGAAGTCATTATGAGATTTTGAATGGTGAATTGGAGCAAAGTTTGTCCAAAGAGTAGTATCTGAAAAGAAATCTGCTGTCGGGCTCGGTGGCTCAGCCTGTAATTCCGCGCCTTTGGGAGGCTAAGGTGAGTGGATTGCCTGAGCCCACGAGTTTGAGACCCGCCTGGGCAGGTGAGACCTCATCTCTACAATAAATCAAAATATCAGCCGGGCGTGGTAGCGCATGCCTGTAATTC